CAAGTAATTCTGCATTTTTAACAAGTTTTGATGTGGTAGATGCTGATGCAATTACTGTTTCATCTGTTTCCATTATATAAAGGTGATCATATATGATTAATCTATATTGATTATAATAATAATATTAGTGATAAACATGGCTCTGATACCAAATGGATTTGCTAAAACCAAGTGTGACACAAGCACATCTGTCAATGACTTACAAGAGATACAAGCCTAGAGTAATTTAATACAAATATGGCTAAACCCCAACCGCGACTGGGGTGATGTCCTACTTGCTCAATCTTAATTTTATTCACACATTTAGCACAAAACCAGGAATAGTACTATTCATATTATCATCATAATTAACACAAATTAATTCATATATGATCTCAAGTACAAATTATGTTGATGACAGACGGTCAAGAGGATTTTGATAATAATAAGTTGCATTTCTCAATTGAGCAAACCTATCCCAAATATGATTTGGTTGAAATCTTCTTGGAGGATATTCTAATTCTTTCTGATACTTATGTAGTTGAGTTAATACATAAAATCTACTAAAAACAGTTTCATTATTGATAAAACATTAAAATGTAGACAAAAATACTTACAATGCTACAATTAGTTCTGGTTCTAAGAGGTCAAGATGTTGCTTTCTGAGTGCAAATTGAATTTGAATAATTGGATTTTCTAATGACAGTAGTCGTGGTACAATTTTAAGAGCTACATCCCAACAGGCTTTGGTGTTAGCTTTAATTTGCTGGATTAATTTTGTTTGCTTAGGATCCATACCCTTATTTAAAGAAGAAAACTCTTTTTAAACGGGAAACTTTATTCTGAAAATCACATTTGTAATCCCACCTCTAGATCCATGGAATACTGAAATTAATCATAAAGATAGCAAAAGATTTGGACATGGAGATGGATGAATTTCCTGGTGTGTGTGAATAGGCAGTTTGCCATAGAGTGAAAACTGCTATGGTAATTTCTAGTAAGAAGTCCAAAGAGGGGTCAAACCTAAGTTACCAGAAAACGCTAATACCCTAGCGAATTACGTATTGGTACACACATTCCAAAATATGGTACACTTGCTTTCCAAAACAGTAAATTTAGCGATCTAAAACGATCGCTAAATTTCCTTAAATGTTTCCTTAGGAGCAAAAAAACAAATATAATGAATTAAAATCTAAAGTAAGTTAAGTTTTGACAAAACAAAACATAAAAATAGGTCATAGTACTCATAGAAATGTTTTGCTACATGAAGAAGAAAAACTAAATTTTATTATATGTTTAATAGTTAAAAGAAAATTACTCTAAAAGTACTTTAAATTTGCAAGTATAACATATACAAGTCTACTCCTATCATACCACATTTTAGAGCATGTGGCGTACCACATTCCCGTTCCCGTTCCCTATGCCGAAACGATCCACGTTCCAGGTAATATAGGGCCAAACATAAAACCAATTAGGGATGCCTTTACGGATTGTATATTGGCAAACTTTAATAAACCAAGAATGATTACAGATGGGATTCTGATAATAAAATGCTTTAGTAAAAGCATCGACATAGTCCCAATAACTATATTTCTAATCATGTAATCTGTAAAATTCAATTTTCATTGGTTCAGATAATAGCCTTACAATCTAAATTTGATAGGGCTATTGGTTCGGTTTTTCATCCAAAAGATGGTGAGTGAAATCAACTACTACAGTATCTTTGAGAATATTCTCATAAAAGTACCGATACGAACCAAAATGAGGAGTGAATTGCTGGGTAGTTAGATACCTAGATTTTATTTCCAAGGCATCAGTCATCTATTTGACGTCTGTATCCTCAAAATACAATACTATTTCTTCAACAATGGAATTTTGTTGATACTGTTCAGATTCTGAGAATAGTGCATCCTTAGCAATCTTGCTGGAGGATTCTCCTTGAGAGGAGGCACTTGATACTGATGGATTATGATTCCTGGAAATTCTGATAAATCCAACTGAAGATTCTCATGAGAATATGGGGGAGCTTCCCCTTCCGCGACCGCTGTTTGTGTTTAAAATTTGTAACCTCTAAGGGTGGTTTCAGATTAGTAGATTGAATTGGTGCTTCCTGTGGTTTATGTTTTGTATTGATGATTTCCAAATTCTGGATAGATTCTTCAATTCTAGCTAGTTGAGCTACAGTTTGGAAATATAAATTAGTATAATTATTCTGTTTGAGGACGGAGTTCAGATCTGAGACTTTAACAAAGTCTTTAAGCTTATCTTCTTTAGTCGCAGGTTTAACATACGCAGTTATAGCTAGTGGTTCTGCTGTGGAGACACTAGGGGCTAATTCTAAAGATTCTGCCGGGGGATGGATAGCACTAATGGCTTTACCATTAGTGGTTTTCCATGTTTTATAAAAATTGTCTAAAACATGCAGCTGATGTTCTGGTAAAATTTTCTGGCAATAATAAAACCATTCTATAAAAGGTATAACCTTTTGATACTTATTAAGATATAGGTAAAATTGATTTTATAAAAAGCTCCCTTAATTTACCTGCAATGACATGGCATGTCAATTTTTGATTTATCAGAAACTGAACTATGCAAGGCCAACTCCCTCGTCATCTCATTATGGGTGAATTCAATTGTGGGTCTCTACCATTCCTCATTCTTCTCTTACATTCTCCCCACACAATCCACATCAATGCCAAAGGCACCAAACACCAAGCCTTCCTCCCCTCCACTAAGAAGCATAGACACAGACACGGACACGCAATACGACAAGGACGTGCCCACAAGATAATTTTCAAAAAATGTAGGACACGACACGTGGGGAACATGCACAAAATATATAGTTTATATATTTATTAATGTCATACATATGAATATATCATTCAAAATTAATAAAACAATATACAACATAATGTTATTTTTTGTAAATCTACATTATTTTTCTTTTATCTTTCTACCCTATGTAATTTTGTTCACACTTACAATTAGTTTCATGTGTATCCAAGTGATGGATACATGTGTCCCCCAAGTATCCAAAGTGTCTCTATGTCAAAAAAAAAAATTAAAAATGATAAGATAAATTTGGATGAGTGTTCGACACGTGTCGAGAAGTGTCCAACATGTACACGACACGGACACACCTTCTTCTTAGAAGTGTCCATGCTTCGTAGACCTTCGAAGGGAAAACCCACTGTATCAAACACCACAAATCACATGTCACCTCACAATAAAAAAGGAGATATAACTCACAAACTCCCCATAATGTTTACACATACAACACCAGTTAACATGGTTTTGCCTCCTAATCACATTATCAATGGTAAGAATCTTGTCATGCGAAGCACACCACACAAAGAAGGCAACTTTATAAGGGGTCTTTGTGGCTCCACACCCTTTCTCAAGTGAAAAGCCTCAAAGTGACTGACCACAAATTTCATCTATTAGATAGCATTCCCGCCAACACCAATGCAAGGAATGGAGTAAAAACACCCCACGAAGGTCGATCAATGCCCCACCCCCCAACCATTTAATATCCCAAGAAACAGGACTCACATTTACCTTGTGATACTCACTAACAATTGCTAGTCTCTATTTATCACAATACATGCAATACTAGGGAAAGCCACTTGTGACTTCACTCCACCGCACAAATGGCACCAGAACATCATTGGTTGCTCACCATTAATTGCATGTTCCTCGAAAAGGTATCCCACCCACTGTGGATGCCACTCCACATGCCCACACCATCCTCCTCTCTCTCTCTCTCTCTCTCTCTCTCTCACCACACACAACAAACCTCCATAATCATTTCTACCCACTATAATAATTCCTTATTAAATCTCACCATCCAAGTGATGGATACATGTGTCCCCCAAGTATCCAAAGTGTGTCTATGTCAAAAAAAAATTAAAAATGATAAGATAAATTTGGATGAGTGTTCGACACGTGTCGAGAAGTGTCCAACATGTACACGACACGGACACGCCATCTTCTTAGAAGTGTCCATGCTTCATAGACCTTCCAAGGGAAAACCCACTGTATCAAACACCACAAATCACATGTCACCTCACAATAAAAAAGGAGATATAACTCACAAACTCCCCATAATGTTTACACATACAACACCAGTTAACATGGTTTTGCCTCCTAATCACATTATCAATGGTAAGAATCTTGTCATGCGAAGCACACCACACAAAGAAGACAACTTTATAAGGGGTCTTTGTGGCTCCACACCCTTTCTCAAGTGAAAAGCCTCAAAGTGACTGACCATAAATTTCACCTACTAGATAGCATTCCCGCCAACACCAATGCAAGGAATGGAGTAAAAACACCCCACGAAGGTCGATCAATGCCCCACCCCCCAACCATTTAATATCCCAAGAAACAGGACTCACATTTACCTTGTGATACTCACTAACAATTGCTAGTCTCTATTTATCACAACACATGCAATACTAGGGAAAGCCACTTGCGACTTCACTCCACCGCACAAATGGCACCAGAACATCATTGGTTGCTCACCATCAATTGAATGTTCCTTGAAAAGGTATCCCACCCACTGTGGATGCCACTCCACATGCCCACACCATCCTCCTACAATCTCTCTCTCTCTCTCTCTCTCTCACGCCACACACAACAAACCTCCATAATCATTTCTACCCACTATAATAATTCCTTATTAAACAAAATCCATGACTATGATGTTGAAGGCAGATGTTAAATCCTCATGTAATAAACTTTATGTGAAGGCTAAAACACCTATAGATAAAAAATTACTGAAAGGTTACCTATATTCTTTACCATCACTAGGTTTTCAACAACTCTACAATATAATTATTGTCTGAGCCTGTTTGAAAGCTAAATATGTTTGAAAATTTTAAATAAATCACATTTTAATGTGACTATAATTACAATGAAAATGCATTCAGCATTCCACACAAATCTATTTCTGATGGTATGCAAGAAGAAGAGGAGAAAAAGAAAAAAAAAACTGGAAGGATAACTTTTCTTCAAGATACCTCATTGTCTGTTCCATGCCCAAGTTGACCATATTGTGGAAGACCAGCAGTCCTAGAAACCAAGAAACCATGGGCATATCAGTAATCCAAACAAGATGCAAACTTCAAAATAACACGAATCAATAACTCCAAAACATGTAAAGGAAGTATGAAGTAAAAACCAACACAAATCCACAAACCATACAGAATAGAAGCTCCTTCAACAGAAGTTAACCACACTGAAAAATCAGCCCCACAAGCAGCAGTTCTGACTTCAGAAACAAGACAGTGTACAGGAGATGATTCAACTTCTACAGAAAAAATATATAAACTAGAATGTCAGTTGATGCATAATGCAAATTTAAGGCATAATATCCCTAAAAATAGAGTAAATATCTTAGCACTTAATAGAGTCCCCAATCTGCTATTGCCAGTGCCACCTAAATTCAAGATTAAAATGACTCGTGTGTACAAGGATTGCATCCCTATTTTTGGATCTCTTTAATGAGTCACTTTTATTTATCCAAAAAAATTATTTTAAAAAAAAAAATTGCATACAAGATGCAAAACCAGCTGTGAAGGGAAAAGGAAATTAGGATGCCTTCATGAAAGAGTTACAAGTTTGTCATCTTTCAAGTCTACGTTTAAAATGCTGTTTTGCCTCAGTCAAATTACTGCATATAATTGCAGAATCCTAAGTCTTTTGAAACTCAACATGGAAAGAATAGAATACCAATGCATAATTTAAAGCTGCATATGTAGTCTAACAACAAAACAAAATAAACTCATTTGTAATGAATTCCGAAGGCCAAAAGCATAAAACATAAGTTCTACAAATAAGTGCACGAAAAATAATACAAGGAAGATGTTGATGGATCCATTCTAAAAGCAAGCAGTCATGTAAAATAGTTACTTTACTTTAGAATCATTTGCAGTATATTAGAAGACGTATCAAAAAATATGCTAATTATCGAAAGGAAATATACTATGTAAAGTGTTAAATAACAGGAAGACATTAACCTTAATTCAGTGTTACGGATGGGCTAAATAAATGCTATTGAGTTATTCCAGTCTATTTCAACCATATTCCCCACTAGATAAAGCCATTCCACTTTTTACTGTTGCAACTTGCAACTGCTAGTATTTGATCCAATGGGTCTCCAACTTCCACTAATCCAGCCATCTCCAAGACCCTCTAACTTTCCTTCCTCCTGGTAAACTGGTGACCCTTATTATTGTCTCAGTTTCAGTAACTCGTACTTTAGGCTCATTTGGATACGTCATTCTTTAAAATTATAACCACTACCCATGACTGTTCTCATAATGATGTCATGATGTTTCACCTTCATATAAATAAGATATCAATCCTATGATAATGAACATCGAAATACACCCGAAACAACCCCCACAAGAAACATTTAATTCAATCTCCCCCCTCTCAATAGTAACCAACCCACAGTGATGATAATTTATGATGTAGGACAAGTGTGGAAAAAACTCTCCCACAAAGTAATGAGGCCAAATAAAAAGTGAGGCAGCACAACACAGTTTATTTAGGGCCGATTTTAATTGGTTTTTTTAGGCCAAAAGACTCATAAAATTTGGGGTAGCAAAGAGTAAGGTTTTGGGGTTATAATCAGGCACGAATAGAAGCAGATTTAGGCACATGGGCTGGGAACAGTTCCAGGACCAGTAATTTGGACTGCATGGCATTATTTTGTTGTATTAAACTTGGTTTGCTCTCTCTCTCTCTCTCTCTCCCCCTCTCATTTCAAATGACATCCTCAAATCCCCTCATTTTCACACCTAAGAAGAAAAAAAAGGTGGAGGGCATTAAGGTTATTTTACATCTGCCTTTGACCGAGTTAGCATTGCACACTTTAGTCCAAAACCACATGAAGGCTTTTTAGCTATTTTTAAATGTCAATTGGTGAAATGCTCCAAGACCAAACTGCATGGGGATAAAATGTTTTGGGGTTATAATCAGGCACGAATAGAAGCAGATTTAGGCCTCGTTTGGGAACAGGCTAATTTAGTAACTTTTTGGCTATTTGGCTAAAAAGGTAGGTAAAAATAACTTGTATGTTTGGGATGACTTTTTAGCTAATTACGAAAAGATGTGCAAAAAGTAGAGAGAAAAGAGAATCTTTGACTTTTTGGTATGGGTTGTTTACTTTTTGGCTAATTTAGTAACTTTTTGGCTAATTGGCTAAAATAGCCTCTTGCCAAACGAGGCCTTAGTGCTGTACATGGGCTGGGAACAGTTCCAGGACCAGTAATTTGGACTGCGTGGCATTATTTTGTTGTATTAAACTTGGTTTGCTTTCTCTCTCTCTCTCTCTCTCTCCCTCTCATTTCAAATGACATCCTCAAATCCCCTCATTTTCACACCTAAGAAGAAAAAAAAGGTGGAGGGCATTAAGGTTATTTTACATCTGCCTTTGACCGAGTTAGCATTGCACACTTTAGTCCAAAACCACATGAAGGCTTTTTAGCTATTTTTAAATGTCAATTGGTGAAATGCTCCAAGACCAAACTGCATGGGGATAAAATGAATTTTGCCAAATGATCAATGATCATATCTAAGACTGCGCTGTCTAAAAAACTTGGTTTGATTCTAATTGACCCTGCCTCAAGATTATGAGAATTTTCAACTTTTATGGCTTCCATGAATGCACTTTTCTTTCCTTTTTTTATACACTACAAATCTGCATCAATTTATAACTTAGATATCTCCTGACCATCATTAAACCTAGGGATAGCTATTGGTCCAGTGGCCCACCCGACCTACTTTTTAAGACCTTGGAATCGGTATTTAAGCCCTTGAGACCGAGTTGTGCTATTGTTTAGACCCATCTATTAAATGGGTTGGGCTTGAGAATAGGCCTTGAGGACCAGCCCCGCATGGACATAAAATAGGAAACATTTTTTTTATTTAAAAAGAATAAAATTAAAAACATGTTTGATCCACAGGAAAGCCTAGGGTGTGCACCCCTCTTCTAGAGGTGCACACCATATGTACCCCTACCACAAAAATGTGTAACTTTACCACAATTTCGTAAAATCAACCACAAAATGCGTAACCTCACCATAAATTGGTGTAACAAAATATACAAAATTTTGTGATTGATGTTGCAAAAATTTGTGGCTTGGTTATAACAATTTTTGTTACACCAATTAGTGGTGAGGTTACACATTTTGTCTTTAATGTTACGAAATTTTATGGCAAAGTTACACATTTTGTGGTAGGGTGCATATCCCTTGATCCACACATGTTTTCAAAACATATAAAAACAAAAACATGAAGTTTGGTGAGTAGCTATAGATGATGGTAGAAAGCGGGTGATGGCCAAAGGTGAGTAGAGATTGGCAATAGGGGCTAACAGCTGGAGATGGTGGCCAATGACCAGGACGACAGGGATGAGGGAATGAAACCTCATTTTGAAAATAGGTGAAAACACCAAAATCCTGATTCCTAAAATTTTGGAAAATTTAGAAACTATTGCCACATCTTTTGGAAAAGAAAACAACTACCAAATGCATTTTTGTTTATGAATTTCACAATTTTTTTTTAAAACAAAAACAACAAACAAGCTATGAAAACTTTACCAAACAAGACCTAAGTTTGATCTTGTAACATTTTTTGAGATCTTGTAACATTTATATTGACCTCCCCTAAGGTTTGGAGAAAATGCAACAAGCCCCACAGTTTTGGCATAATTACATTGACCTCCCTTTTATTAAGACTAAATGGACCAAAACTAATGCAGATGATGTAAAGACACAAAGATAAATAATGAAAAATATACATTTCAGTGTGAAAGAGATAACATCATTTTTCTATACATTTGACTAATGAATTTTTGATAAAAAGGGTATTAAGTACAATATATATTAAAACATTAAGAGAGCTCAATGTACTTATGCCAAAAATGTGAGGCTTGCTGTATTTTCTCCAAACCTTAGGGGGGGTCAGTGTAATAAACGAGTTTGTTGGTAGGCTTGGGATTGTAATATCATTTTAGGACTGGGTTTGGGAAGATATTTTTAGGGCCAGTTTTGGGTCAGGTTGGACTGGGGTTGGGCATAAGACTTTTCTAGCCTGGCCCGGTCTAGTCAATGCTTATTCTTAATTAAAGTAAACCATAAATAAAAACCCACCATTCTTTGATGAACCTGTGCCCAACTGCCCATGTTTGTTCCAGCCAAAGGAGAAAGAGAGTCCATCTTTAGTTACCAACACAGTGTGGCTCCTTCCAGCTGCAGCTCCAACAACTGTATGCCTGAAAAAAAAAATTAAAGGTATGGAAAGGAAAGGAAAAAGTATGAGTCACGTAAAAGATACATAACAAAAGAATCCTCTAAAATTACATGAACACAAAGTAAGTTCAATGCTCCCAACAGCCTTGTAAGCCAAGTGGCAGCAAATTGGTCTCTCAATCATAATATCAGGGATTTGAATACCTTTGTCTTGTTTAAATAAATAAATAAATGAATGAAACACGATCCAATTAAAGGGCTTGCAAGTATTATACAAAATAGTCACTTTCTATAACGAGACTAGTAGTCTTTAACATAGATGCATATAGACATATAAATAAATGAATGAAACACGATCCAATTAAAGGGCTTGCAAGTATTATACAACATAGTCACTTTCTATAACGAGACTAGTAGTCTTTAACATAGATGCATATAGACATATATACTTATGTTACGTATACATAATTCTTGGAATGATAAGTCTCAATCAATTCCCGCTTCCCTCCCTTCCCACTCTCCTAAACCCCAGCAAACTTGCTTTTCCTCTCCTTCCACACACAAGTCACAGATCTGCAACAATTTAACAGCAGCATGTGAACAAGATTTGACCCAAGCAAGATATACAGCATCTCTAAAAAAGATCTCAACATCACCCACGTCACAATGAAGGCAGAGAATACTAGAAACCATAACTTACTCATAGCACCATGTAAAAAATTGATGTATTATTGATTGATGTATATTATATATTACAAATGGTGAGGGGCTCCTTATATAGGAGATGTAGTGGAGTAGGTGGTAGTGGTAGGTGTGTAGTAGGTGGTAGTAGGTGGTGGTAGGTGTAGTAGGTGGAGTAGGTGATGGTAGGTTTTAACAGCCCCCCGCAAACTCAAGGGGGATAGGAACTAACCAACTTGAGTTTGGAGAGAGTAACAAAACAAGAAAATAATCTGAAAAATAAAAAATGGATAGGAGACACTGTATGGTCGTGTCAGACAGAAAATATTATGTGTAGTGTAGGTCTAATTGGTTATTCCTTTAGTGTTTAGTTTAGTAGCACTATATTTCTTGTGATACATTTAATGTGTGCATATAATGGTAGAAATTCAAAGATCATAGGGTAAATTTGCTTTACCCGATTGTGGTTTGGTCAAATATAAACACATTAACTCCCTGTGGTTTCTGGACTACTGTGCATTACTTACCTTTGTTAATGGCAATGATAAAATGACTTCTTCTTCTTCTTCTTCTTAATACTTGTAGAATAAGATCAGAGTCTGTAAACCAAAAAATATTCTTGCAAATAGGATCACCCCCCTGCATATTTCTGTTTGGCATGTGTGTGCAATTCAAGATTTACTTCTGTATAAATTGGCTCTCGTAATTCATGATATAGGTGACGTTCCTGCACAAAGGATTTGATGAGACACGTCGCCTTGGTCTCCAAAGTGATACAGAACAGGTACTTAGGCCTGTGTGGAAACCTGCATTCTTTTGTTTCATTGGTTAACAATATAATAATTTGAGATTCATTAACTCTTTAATGAGTGTTTTTGACTGGATTAGATGGTGCGCAATGCATCACCGGTTGGGGAAACTGGAATGCTTGTTGTTGATTCTGTGGTGAGTATACTTTCTTCAGTGTGTTAGAATTAATTCACTAGATTTTTGTCCTCTCTTTAATGTCTGCTATCTTTCTGAGCCTCTTCAGGTGCCTGGTGGCCCAGCTCACAGCCTTTTGGAGCCTGGTGATGTGCTTGTTCGGATAAATGGGGATGTAAGTATTTCTTCAACTGTGTACCACATACATATTAACTCCATTTGTGTGTCTTGTTTACTTCCTATTATGTTTTTTATATTGAACATTTATTTTTTTCCAAGCTGCATTTTCTATTTTTAATGAAAATTTTGAACAAATATAAACTTATTGTTCTTTCTCTATGTGCTCCTCTTGCCTTTTTCTTCTTCAACTTTTTTGTTTTCTTACTTATTTAAAAATTTAGTTGTGGCTATCTTTGCAGGCTCCAGCTTGCAATGATTATTTTTTTCTTTTTAATTTTGCCTTGTTGGACTTGTTTTGTGGATGCTAAAGGAATTTTAAACTAAAACATGAAATTTTGAGTTAAACTTCTAAATTATGTTGAACTTTATCAGTAGGGGGTGAAATTAATTTGTGGAAGTTTATCAAAGCTGAAATTTAGATTTATAATTTTGTAAAATTTCTTTTCTTATTTTACATTTGTTTCATAATAGTGAAGTTTGGGATTAGACTTTTTGAACAGCCTTTGTTTCAAGTAACCTGTTTCAATTTTCCAGAAACCAATGCATGCTGATTTCTGGATTGTGGAATTCGAGTCATAATTTTCATGTTGAATTTCTGAAATATGACCTGCATGACTTGTCTTTTGATATATCAAAATTGTTAGTGCAGGTAATTACTCAGTTCCTAAAATTGGAAACATTACTTGATGACAGTGTGGACCGAAACATTGAATTACAGATTGAAAGGGGTGGCACACCATTAAACTGTCTGCTACAACGGTCCGACATGACCCCATAAACTGTCTTCTACATCGGTCTGACACCGCCATCCAGTGTCCTCTACACAGTTATGACACCACCATACAGTGTCCTCTACAACGTTATAACACCCCCATACAGTGTCCTCACCATCCAGTGTCTTCACCAATGGTCTGACACGACCATACATTGTCTCCTATCCTCTTTTATTTTTATGTATTTTCTTGTTTTGTTACTCTCTCCAAACTCAAGTTGGTTAGTTCCTATCCCCCTTGAGTTTGCGGGGGGCTGTTAAAATTCACCTACTACACACCTACCACTACCACCTACTACACACCCACCCACTTCACCTACTACATCTCCTATATAAAGAGCACCTCACCATTTGTAATTTACAAAAATTCAAAACATCAATCAATAATACATACAATTTATCTCTATCAATATATTTTTACAAAATAAATGAATGAAACACGATCCAATTAAAGGGCTTGCAAGTATTATACAACATAGTCACTTTCTATAACGAGACTAGTAGTCTTTAACATAGATGCATATAGACATATATACTTATGTTACGTATACATAATTCTTGGAATGATAAGTCTCAATCAATTCCCGCTTCCCTCCCTTCCCACTCTCCTAAACCCCAGCAAACTTGCTTTTCCTCTCCTTCCACACACAAGTCACAGATCTGCAACAATTTAACAGTAGCATGTGAACAAGATTTGACCCAAGCAAGATATACAGCATCTCTAAAAAAGATCTCAACATCACCCACGTCACAATGAAGGCAGAGAATACTAGAAACCATAACTTACTCATAGCACCATAATAGAACAATAAATTTATTAACTTCTCCTCTGCCATATGTCATGGAATTTGACCCTATGACCTTTTCTCATTGTAAACCTTGTAGATTTAGCGAACTTCTCTCACGCATTATAAATTTTTTTTTTTTTTTTTGGAGATCCCTACTCCATGGAAGCTCCTCACCACCATTGTGGACCTATGCCCCCATATGTCTTGTTCATATTTGAACTCCACATTTACAATAAAAAAATAAAATAAATAACTGACAGAAACTTGCTAGATTGTTTGACACAAACTTCCACATTCTCCCATGCCCTTCACCTTCTTAAAACTTACAATTCTATTCCATACCCACTTATAAAGTCATACAATCCACACTCCTCACCATTTTAAATCCCAGAACTCTAGATCGAAAGATGTGACAAATTGGCATATCAGGAACTCAATTGTACTTTTCCATTGCAATCACCAACTGCATATTAAAGTAAGGCCACCTTCTCATACTATACCCACCAGATAAGCATCGTGTGGAGGTTGCACTCAACCCTGCAAGATTTTCGCAAGGTAAAAGAACCTTTTCCCCAAACCAAATTAACAGATAGGCTATTGCTACTGCAAATGCTATCGCTGCAACCACTAAAAATAAAACTTAACTTTAACGCAAAACACCCGCGGGGGTGGGGGTGGAGGGGAAGAGTTTAAGATAAGAACTTCTCTCACCATTTCCTCAGCAAAAGTAATATCTATAAACATCCGGGGAAAATTCACTTCTAACAGAAAAATGCAACATACTGCAAAAGTTTTGAAACAACAGCTGGCATATCACGCTGCATTGTATCTCCATGGCCTAGTTGCCCCTTCTGCACACACCAATGTTTCATTTGAATATAGTAAAGCAAAATGCAGGTAATAATCTGAATTAATTATCTTCATAGTTATAAAAACAAATCATGCCTCGTTGCGCCCCCAAGTATAGCAACGTCCTTCAACATCCAATGCCACACAGTGAAAAGATGCTACACAGAACATCAAAACAAAGAACAATAAGTCCACAATTGAGTAGAAATGGAAAGAAAAACGTGAGCGAAATGGAGTAAAAAATTAGCTTTTATTTCCTTCACATATTTCTTTCTCTTTCCAAATCCGTACCTAAATCCATAATATAAACACAGTCTATGTGTAAAAGAATCAGATACCAAAACTGGACTTAGATAACCCAACAACTCAACTTTACACTATGTTTTTGGGAACCTGAGAGAAAAGAAAAGAAGAAAAAGATTGTGTTTCCGATTCTTATAGTTTAGATAGAATGGAGAGAAAATAAGAGGGGGAAAAATGATTTTTTATCACATTACAAAAAAATTATTTCGTATTATATTATCAAAATAATCTTTTATAACTGTCAGTTTTTTAATTTATTTTACATTCAAGGAGACAGTTTTTGGTATTATAAAAGAAGGAAAATAATATATACGTCCACTTCATAAACTCATTTTCTATATGATAGTTGGTAGATGATTAGAAAAAAATATAAGGGTTTTGCTTTAGATATTTTAATAGAAAAGGTTATTTTGATAAAATAAAACAAAATACTTTCTTTTTTTCTTTTCCTCTTATTTATTTTATCCAAACAAGAGAGGTGTTCTCTTTTATTCATCCAAACAAATTAGTGAGAAACCATAATCATCCACATTCTATTCGGTCATTTCATTTCTTTTCTCACCTCACGATCCAAACAGAGTGTTACTAATCTAAAAACAGGTGATATGAATATTTAAAATAAAAATAAAAAAAAAATTTAAAAAAAGCGTTTTTTACCCCCAAATCATTCAATCGAAACGGAGCGTTGGTCATTTATGTTTCAATGTGATACATATAAGTAAACAAGTGTGAAAAATGGAACAGAGAGCAGAGAGCAGAGAGCAGAGAGAGAGCTACCACAACCCGACACGACCAAACGAATGTTGACACCAACGAGAGGCCGGAGTCGAGTTAGAGAGACGAAGTTTCCAACGTTGCGGCCGCCACCGGCACTCCGACGCGTGGCGCCACAGAACAACAGCTCTCCTCCCTTCACCGCCTCCTCCTCCTCCTGCTCAACCCTCTTCTCTGCCTTCATCTCCAACGTCTCTCTGATCCACTCCGACGAACCAACAGTCGATATATTCAAAAAAAGAAAATCAAATGTTGCTAACGACTAGTTTGGGCTGAATCGATTGTTAAGGGTTTATGCTCATATACAGAGACTGACCATTCTAAGCGGAAACTTTCCTATTCGAATGATGTTAAAAAGTGGCGCACTACTTTTTTGTGTTCCCAAGAATGTGATGTGACTTTTGTAGTAAATACATAATTTCTTTTTTTAATGGCAAAGTACGACAAATGTTTTAAGTCACGTTTGTTTGGAGTTGTAGGGGGCAATGAGATTGGAGTGATGATTCATCCTACTAATTTTTGAATCATTAATAGCTCTAATGAGTTTAAAAAAAAATAAATAAATAAATTCAAGTTAAAATATCACATCACTTTGGTGGAGACCACTGTGTCACATCATTAGTGATGCTCTAGAGCTTCCAATTTAGTGCTCTAAAACATTATTTATGAGATTGATAGTGTGAGATGTGATTAATATATGGAGTGTTTGTTTTGAGAGATGGAGAAGGAACTTTTAATTCCTTTGTATTAAGACTAAGTTTGGCATATATAAAATAATTTATCTTTTTATTTTTTTTCATCACATCACCTCTCTATTTTTCTGAATATCTTTTTGTAAAAAGACAAAAAATACACTTATTTGGGTCATTCCAAACAACCCTTAAAGGTATTGGAAGGGGGATTGGGAAGGAGGAGGTAGAGATAGTATTAGAAAAATAATGAGGGGATTAGAAATTTTTATATTTTTTATATATTGAGAGTTTTTTTAAAATATTAATTTTTAATTTTTTATATTTTTTTATTTATTTTATTATTTTATATAAAAATAATTTAATAATTCCTCACTATTAATCTCATCACTATCAATCCCCTCACTATTAATCCCTTCACAACCAAATTTTTTATTAAAGAAATAATTAAATATTTCATATATGGGTCTATAGTATTTTTTTTGTGTTTAATATTGAAAAGTATTTATTTATTTGTGTTGAAAATATTTAAAAGTGTATTCTTGTTTGGTTTTGGATTTCAAAAAATATTTTTCAGAAAATGTTACTCTTTTTTTTATTTTTTTTTTGTTTTTATTGAATTTTTTTAATATTTTAAATAATTTTTTTTAATTTTTAGACACACCTAACATAAATATACTTAAAAAGTATAATATTTGTGAAAAAAATCTTTAAAAAATTCACTAAATATAAAAAATACAAAAAAAATATGAAAATTCAATACATTTTTCGTATTTTTATATATTTATTAATTTTTAAAAATATTTTTTCACCAATATTTTACTATTTAAATGCATCTAAGTAAAGTGTATCTAAAAAAGTAAAAAAAAAATCTTTAAAAGTTTTTAAAAAAATTGCTTAAAAAATTAAAAATATTTACTAAAAACAAAAAGACACGAAAAATAAAAAACTCAATTTCCAGAAAACTGAAATCAAATACACTAAGTAATTTTAATAAAAATGTATTGAATTTAGTAAAATATGTATTGTGTTTTTTATTTTATTTTTTTGTCTTTTATTTGCGACCTTGAAACACTTGTTAACAAGATCATTTTGGGTTCGGTTTTCTCTCAAATTATTGTCTTAACTTAAAAGAACGTTTAGGTTTAATAGACCTATTTTGGAATTGATTTCAGTAATCCAAATCGTTCACTTTGTAAGACTCGTTGACTAAAATATTTATGTAAAAAATCAAAATGATTGGATATCGGTAAGTATATATTCTAATCATATTTGTTTTTCAAAAGTGAATGACAAAATAATTTTAATAATAGCTATCTATTTTTTATAACATAAATTTGATTCAAACATATAGTTACCGATGTCCGATCATATTAATTTTTTGCATGAATATTCTACTTAACAAGTCTTAAAAAGTGAATGATTTTAATTGTCGAAATCGGTCTTAAAATAAGCCTAACAAGCCTAAATGCTCTCTCAAGTTGAGATGCCCAACTTGAGAGAAGTCAAACCCATTTTTTAATCCATTATGTTCATATCTCAATATGAAATAATTTGAAAGATCCATAAGACTTATCACGGGTCTTATTTTAGTGACAAAATCGGTTATTTTGTACGATTTTCAACGTATCCTACCAATCACAAGTTTCATGTTGGACGTAGTATTCATACTGGAAAATTATGAGCAAGGATTACTTTATCAACTACCATCTATTTTCAAAGATCCCTCGTGCTCGTGAAATATTTTTCAAATACAAAAGTTCAGTATTCTCTCATGAATTGGTGAATTAGACAGAATTATTTTGTACAAAATAAGTAGCAGGTCAATCTTTACAACTTCATCGTAAATGTGAAATACTTGTACAAATAAAAATGCAAGAGAGATAACAAAAAAAAGATACAAGGTCGTTTGTCTGCTTGGCTAGTCAAGCATGGGATAATTCATAGATCTTTAGGCTTTGATTACCAAGGAATAGAGACTTTACAAGTAAAACCCAGGGATTGGCATTCCATTATTGTGATTTTATATGTATGTGGCTACAATTATCTACGTTCTCAATGTGCCTATGATGTAGAACTTGGCGTAATTCATGAAAACAATTAGTTTCAATCAAATAATCTTAATATTTTCATTTTATTTGTTTTTAAAAAAGTGAACCACAAATATATTTTGAAAGGGTTGGGCTTCTTTCATATTGGTCATCTCAACTTAAGAGAGCATTTCGATTTGGGAGGCTCATTTTAGGATTAGTTGAGTAGAATATTCAAGTAAAAAATTAAGATGATCGGATATTAGTAACTATATATTTGAATCAAATTTGTATTACAAAAAATGAATGACTATTATTAAAATTATATTTGTTGTCCATTTTTTTAAAATAAATATGATTCAAATATATAGTTATCGATGTCAAATCATCTTATTTTTTGTATGAATATTTTACTTGATGAGTTTTAAAAAGTGAATTCACCTAAGGATGGTTTGTGAGACCATTCGTGTCTCATTTGTAATCGTTTGAAAACTCTTTGATTGATAGTGGAATCGGATTTTGATCCCGTGGATGTACCTCACATTGAGGGAACCGCGTAAAAATTTTGCGTCGCTGTTAGTTTAATATTTTGCGTTAGTTTTTGCTCTCATTGATTGATTTACTTGTCGGAAATCATCTATTTTTCCTAACAAACTGATATCAGAGCTTATGGTTTATTTGGACTTATTTATTTGTGTAAATCAATGGAGGGGAATCTGGGTCGTATATTTAACTTCAATGAAAACAATTAGGTAACTTAGAAAACTAAAATGAAGGACCTATTATTTTATAAAGATTTGTACGGGCCTATTAAGGGTGATAGTAGCAAACCCGATGGTATAAAAGATGATGAATGGAAGAGGCATAATCGAAAAGTCATTGGTGTTATCCGTCAATGGATTAATGACAATGTATTTTATTATGTTGCTACTGAAACTTCAGTACATAATTTATGAAAAAAAATTAGAAGGCCTTTATGACAGAAAATCAGCTACAAATAAAGCCTTTTTGTTTCGAAAAGTTGGTTAATTTAAAATATAAAAATGGCAGCCCTATTCCGGAACATTCGAATAAAATAAAAAGTATTGTTAACGAACTTGCTTCTATGAAAATTATTTTTAATGATGATTTTTAGGATTTAATGTTGCTTAATTCTTTGCTCGAAAGTTGAGAGACTTTGGTTGTGACAGTTAGTAATTCGGCGCTCGATGGAGTTGTCACAATGAGCCAAGTCACTAGTAGCTTGTTAAATGAAGAAATTAGAAGAAAATCAGTGAGTTCCTCTCATTAGGAAACATTTTTTGTGAAAATTCGAAACAAAACAAGGGGTAGGAGTAAGACTCCTCATGGTCGTGATCAAAGTCGTGATAAATTAAGAGATGGTTCTTTTTCAAAAAAAGACATTGAGTGTTATTATTGCCACAAGCAAAGGCACATGAAGCGAGAATGCTGAAAGCTCAAAAACAAGGAAAAAATGCGTGACAAAAATGTGGATAAGAAGCAAGAAGACGCAATGGCGGTTACTACTGATGATCTCATGGTTGTTTATGAAGATGATTGTGTTAGTTTTGTGGGCCAAGAAAGCAATTGGGTGATTAATTATAGTGTTTCTTTTCATGTGACTTCTCGAGTTGATTTCTTCACTACCTATACCAAAGGAGATTATGGGTGTATTCGAATGGGTAATGAGGGTTTGTCCAAGATTGTCGGCATGGGTGATGTTTGCTTGGAAACAAATTTGGGCTGCAAGTTGTTGCTTAAAAATATGAGGCATGTTCCCGACAGTCGCCTCAATTTAATCTTTACCGGGAAGTCAAATGATGAAGGCTACAATAACAAATTTGGTAATGGAATATGGAAGCTCACAAAGGGTTCTTTGGTGGTGCTAAGTGCAAGAAGACTCATACACTTTATTCGATGCTAGAAAAAAATTGTAAAGGTGTTGTCAATGCACTTGAAGATGATACTTCTACTAAATTGAGCTACAAGTTTTGTCTAAGAAAAAGCTTCTACCTAGTTTGAATGGTACACATATTAAAACTTGTGTTCATTGTTTGGCGGACAAATAACATAGAGTTTTTTTTCATAAAAATATTGCTTCTAGAAAAAAAAATGTTTTGGAATTGATTCATTCGGATGTTTGTGGTCCTTTAAAAGTTAGAACACATAGTGGTGCACTTTATTTTGTTACTTTTATTGATGATTATTCAAGAAAAGTTTGGGCTTTTATACTAAAAACTAAATATCAAGTTCTAGATGTATTTAAGCATTTTCAGGTCGTGGTTGAAAGAGAAATAGGGCATAAATTGAAGTGCATCCAAACAGACAATGGTGGTGAATACATTGAGTCATTTGATGAGTATTGCATCAAAAGACAGTTAAGAAGACTCCTCAACAAAATGGCGTTGCCGAGAGGATGAACCGCACTATTGTGGAAAGAACAAGGTGTCTGCTTTCACATGCTAAATTGCCAAGATCCTTTTGGGGTGAGGCAATGAGGACAGCGGTTGACGTGATCTATTTGTCTCTTTCTTATCCTTTGAATGGTGATGTTCCCGAAAAAGTTTAGACCGGCAAAGATGTGTCTTATGACCACTTGAGAGTGTTTGATTGTCGAGCTTTTATTTACATTCCAAATGATGAGAGGTCCAAGCTTGATAGCAAGTCAAGA